AAAGGCTTCCTAATATTTGACAGATAAAAATATATACCCTGTCAGATTTTATTTGGCAAGTCAATATTTTCATGATAAAATTGATATTAAAATGATATTATAGTACTAACCAACTGATGTTTGTTCAAATTTTCAGAATATAATGATATTTATATAATAAATATAACAAGTAAATTTCAGCTTATAAGGTGTATTTTTATTAAAAATATTTGTGTAACAGGAGAGAGAGCTATGGAAGAAAGATTTATTCTCCATTTATATTTCCCCCATTATTTGCATTATTATATCTGTTATATAATAATGCCATAGTTCATGGATGGAACAGAATGGCTGAAAGGAAAAATGAATTATAAATATGCTTTGTTCACAGAGAGACTTTTATAGCACTGAGACATACACAAAACTATATATATATATATATATATATATATATATATATATATATATATACACCATGTTCTATAGTTTAGGGATAATATATCACATACATCTACACAGTAAAGCAGAGTATAAGGAGAAACAAAAAGGAAGGGTCTTACATATAATATGGAGATATTCCTATGTCTGGGGAAGCCATGTTTAGGACTACAGATTCAAACAGGCCAGATTCATATATGTCCCAGGTGTGGACATATTCCAAGAATGGAAAACTGCGAGTCTTGGGTTTTCTCCAAATTGCGAGCTGGAGTTTCTTTCTGTATATGGGAAAGATATATTCCCAAAAGGAAATGGTACCATGGACATGTAAGCTGCAGGGGAGGCAGATTTAGTCTCCTCCCTGGCCATGTGGGGCCTGACATAAAGAAAACCACCTTTTCATTTGACTGTTGTAAATGAACTAAATTTTTTGGTTCCTGCTTTTGTCACTATATGAAGTGATGTCACTAAACAACCGTCATGTGACCCATGTAACTTATCTCCACCAAAGAGAAATAAGCACCTTCTGTATCCATGCATTTGCATTGGTTTATATGGTGGTGTGAGATTTTATTATACAATTTAAGAGTTTTTATTAAATATATAGTAGATAGTTATTGATATTTATTTTTTTAAATTTCAGATATGGAAAGGTTGCCATGGGTTTGTAAGAAGACATGGGAGAGTGGTGTCGCTTAGGAAGTTTTATACTACTTAGAATAGTTTCTTACAAGAAAGGATATTATTTATATTGGTTTGGCCTAAAAGAGTTATATCAAGGGAAATAATCTCAAACAAGACAGTAACTATATAGTTACCTACCACAGGTTATAAGAAAGATATAACCTCAAAAAAGAAACAAAATATTTTAATGTTATTTAGTGATAGAAACATATTGGGAATTGAATAAAAGTAGAACAGATTATAAAACAGTAAAAAATGTTGAAACTTTTGATAATATAAGAAAAGAAAAAATGACTATAAGAAGGTCACAAAGAGATTTTAGGAAAATTAAAATGGTATCCAGAAGGAAAATATTTCAAGTTGGTATTATAAATTTAAACAGAGAGAAAAAATGCAGAGTATTAAAGAACATAAAATCGGTCAAATAACCACCTTTTAAGTAAACATCATGAAGAGAAATCTGTATTTTGGGCAAAGAAGTATATGAAGACTAATTTCTCAACAATAATTCTTAGTGATGAATGAGGAATTTACCTGATGGCTGGGGTCAGGGTTGAGTCATTCATGAAAAGAAGACAACAAAGCTGGGTGTACATTCAGTAATATTTTAAGCTCATATTAAAGGCAGTAAAGTTACAGGTGTCTTCAAAGTAGATGATAATATCAAGAGAAATGCAGATAATTAATATTGACTCTTGAAAAAGATATTTTGAGTATTTAACATGTCACAGCAAAAAAGCTTTAACCTAAAGAGTATATTCTTGCAATATATTGTTCCTTCACATTCTATAAAGCTAACTGTTGTTCACAATACTAAAAAAATGTTTTAAATCTACTATTCATCTATACATTGAATATTGCTGCCATATCTGGTCTGGTGCTTCTACTATATATTATGAGATTCTTAACAAATTCCAAAGAATGTTCTGTGATATAATCGATCCTGACTTAGCATTCACTTACTTTCTCACCTATGTGATATGGCTTCCCTCTGTCTTTTCTACAAATATTTTCATGGCAATTGTTCTGATGAGCTTTTTCCCTTGATGCCTTAACTGTGTGAATTTAAGCATGTTACTAGGTCTCACTGTTTTTAATGTTGAACTTGTTAGATGCAACTGTATGTTCTATTCTAACAGTTTCTTTTCTTGCATTTGTTTGCCTGTGGAATTCTGTTCTGATTTCATGTTTTTCTACCATCTTTGAAAATTTAAATGCAATGGCAACCACTGTCTTCTGTCTTCCTGTTCCTTTATTGTTCTTTCTCTTCACTTCAGTCTTCTCACTCTCTTTCATTCTCATTCACCCCTTACATCCTCGTGGCATTCTCCCCTTGCTTGGGGTGAAATGATTAAGAGAATAAAAAAGCATTAAATTAATAGAATGGTCTACAGTCTTTCCAAATATTAATTCAATGGAAAAATAAATCATTAAATGATATGTATGTATGAATGGAAAATAATATTTAAATAAACTTTTGGGTAGCACCTTTTAGCTGCATATATTCATCTTAATATACTCCATTTCTCTTTCTCTCCCTGTTTATGTTCATATAATATTTTATTTAAATTCCTCAAAGTTTCTCCTACATAGTTTTTGTGACAATTATTCCATTGTAAATTCCTGCTTCAGGTTTTAGGTTATTATTATTATTTTGTTTTGTATGAATTAATTGTTTTATAATAAGTTTTATATTAAGTTTTGATAAATTCTTTTTGATTGCAATTGTTATAGTAGGTAGTATAAAGTGTTTCATTAAAATTGTTTACATCATTCTTTCTTTTATCTTTACTAAATGCATTATTTATTCATCATAATGAATCTGACCATCATATATATATATATATATATATATATATATATATATAGTGTTTATTTTGGCATGTTTTCATTGAGACATGTTTCATTGAATAATTTCGACAAGTCTTGTCTACTTATTTTTAACAGGATCCTTTCATATTCACAAAGAAGCCTTTTGGTGTCATTATTAAAAGAAGAGAGAAAATTACCGTATTGATACATGTTTTTATTCTGAGTACTTTCACATTAGTACAATGTAATCCTCAGGGTGTTGTTTATTAAGACAAAAAATGTAGTGTTCATTACTTTCAAAGACAAAATTGCTGTGTTCATCTGAAAGTTAAAATTTTTACTTGTAAACAACTGCTGCTGTTTTTATCAGTTGTTCATCCTGAAGTCTCTTGGTGCTTTGATATAGCATCTTGATTTAAGTTTTTTTAATCAATTATACTTATGGTCTATATGGCACCTGGGTCCTGGGTTAAGCAATTTTTTTTATGCTTAATCTGTTCAAAGTTAGAAATATTAATAAATTTATCCATTTTGTTAGGAAGAGTGATAGATCCTTTGTATAGTGCATTCATTTTTTTTAAAATTTTTAACCAGTGCTGAAATTCTGATTTATTGGTAATTTCTCCAAGTCTATGTGTAATTTCTATGATCACGTTGTCTCAGTGGCTGAGTTACCATTTGAATGACATCTATTATTTCTAAATATTTACAACAGTATACCTGTCCACATTTGCAATTTAGAAAAATTCTAGTTAAAAATTCATCCATACATCTTCATGAAAATAATAAGCATAAAGTAAAGATCATTGAAGATGTCAGTATTAAAAAAACTGAAAACAAACCTTAACAAAATTAATTATAAATACTGCACAAATGTTTTAAAATACTTAAATCTGAAGTTTTTATCTTCAGTTTTCGAAACATGGTTATTACTGTGTAGCAAAGAAACCATATTTTGAATCAGTTAATATATATATATATATATATATATATATATATATATGACTTGAAATTGGATTCAGCAAATGAGGAAACACTGGAATTTACCAAAAACAGTAAAAATCCTTGAAAATGAATGTAGCAACATTCAAAAGTACAGGCTTGGATCCTATCGGGGGAAAAATATTTTTCTAAAGGTAGATAGAAATAAATATACTGTTTAATAAATAAACAGACCACCTACTCAAATATGGCTATCCACTAAAAATAATGTCTATATAAGGTTGTTATTTATTAAGTGTCACTTAGATTTGGAACATATCTAGTGCAGGATTTAATCTGAATAGTTTGATCAGTTTGTTTATCCTTCAAGTGACCCTTCATTTCCCCTACCTTTCCAGATATTTCATACATCTATCAAAATCACTCCACCAAGAAATGAACAACCACTTTTCAGTCAATTTATGTAGAACTTTATATATATAAAGAAACACACACACATACACATAATGTATGTGCATGTATGAGACTGTGTGCATGTGCATATCTCTCAGCTTTAAATTTCTGTTTATGCAATTACTTATCTCTCTTATAGAAAAATATACAGTTTATACATAAACCTATTCTTATATATGTGAGTATATGTTTTTATTTCATCTTGAAAGCAGAGCACTATATATTTCAACGTTTTTCAGCATATGAAATAGTTTTATTTTTTCTGGTGCTAAATTAATTTTCCTATATTGATTTTTGCAATATTTTTCTCTCTGCATTTATCAAGGTATTTTGATATTTCATAGAGTATTTATGTTTATATGTTACTAGATTTCATTTGTGGTTTTTCCTGTCTTAGTCTATATTGCTTTATGATGGATTCCATTTCAGCTATCAAAAATATTCATGCAGCGTTATTATAATCTATAGAACTCAAAATGTAAATGATTTTTAAAAAATTTTTAATACAGACAACAACAGTTAACCCTCCAAATCTTATACTTCTACCTTTCTAGTTTCATTCTAGAAACTGCTTTAATTAAAAATTAAGTTAAAATAATGTGCTATTTGTAGTAACATTATCTTGACAGACTCCAACAGGGATGCTTCCAAACACACTACAATCTAGTCTCAATTATTATCTATCAGCAGGCTTATGACCATATCATGTTGAAACACCAGTTCTTATATAATCACTAAAATTAAGCAACATGGAGCCTGGTCAGTACCAAGGTGGGTGGCCACTGGGGAATCCCAAGTGCTGTAAGCTTGGATGTGTCTGTGGTGTAATGGATAATGGCTCAGAATTGGGAACCGCCAAGCTGAGTTCTAATTCCTGTTAGGTTCATTATATTCACTCATTCATCAGTTAACTAGTAGGACTTGTATCAGTAAATCATTATTATCTCCAAAAAATTCTTACAATCTAAAAATATTCTCCATCTTTAAATAACTTGCAACAGGTTGATAAGCCGTAAAAAGAAAATCAATCAGTCCATAGGCTAATCTTCACTTCCTACTCTCTCCTCTGACATTTATATTACATACTCCATTCAGTATCCTTCTACCTTGAGTGGCTCTTGTCAACCATTATGGCTTAACAAGAATTTCTTTCATTTCATTTTTTATACTATTGTTACCTAATACAAGGCTCAAGAGCCATTTAAGGGTAGAAGGTAGTAGAGGGTTACTGAATGATGCTGTTGTAAGAGCTTAATGAACTAAAAGACCTGCAAGTGTACCAGAAAACAACAGCTGGATGACCAGCTACTGTATTTTAGTGCACTTGCATGTCTTTTAGTCTACCAACTAGTGTGTCTACTTACATTTGTGTCTTAGTCAGCTTATGAACTTTCCAACTGATTATCATATTTTGAGTATATGTAGGATATACAGTGGTTGAACCAAGACTTAAAGAGGTCAGGGAAAGCAGTTTTTGGGGAAGTCTGTTCCACAAAGTTAGAATTTTGGAGAATCGGAGTTAAACTTTCTCCTTACTAATAGAATATGAAGGAAATGAAGATGCATTGACTGTGTATGTAGCATGACTGGTCCAAGCTGTGAAGGTTATGAAATGGTGGAACTAAGGAATATAACTCGTTTGAACGCTAGATATGAAAGTAGCCATAGCAAGAGGCTAGCAACATTTTGTTTGTACAAAAAGGGTTGGAAAAATAATTTATCACCCACCATAAATTTTGTTCAATGCAGGAAAATGAGAATTGGGCAATTAAAGCTCAGATATGGCAACCATACAAGATTTTTGGTCTGAGTTGATGTGTGCAAAGAGAGAGCATGGCAGGAGGTCTTAGATGCTTTGTTGAGTCGTACAAGGAATTAACCATTTTCCCAATATCTTTATTGATTGATCATATATACAAGTTCCAGCTGATGTGAGTTTGAGTCCTAATAGATGCTTAAGGCAAGGTGCCTCATTGAAAGAACAACTGTTCATCATAGAAAACACAGTGATGATGAAACATTATTAGCTTGGTTTTGGAGGTATTAAATGTTACAAACCAGTTCTTCTCCCATTGAGCTGTGTGAGTTAGGTCAGGGGATAGATCAGTTGCCAAGTTCTGGTCATTGGAGATGCACACCTTCATTTTCATTATTTCTTATCACAACTATTCAGACTATTAATCTACAACCATTAGAAAGTTGGAATAAATAATAAGCTTTCAGCAACACGCAAACTTGCATCCTTTTTGTTTCAGTAAGTCTGTCAATGACAGTTACTCTGCTGTTTCAGCTACAAGAGCTTTAGAGTTAGAAGATCATATCTAACCTTTTAAATTTAGTTATTATTCTTCCCAAATTGATTAAGACTATATGAGCATTTACTTTTTTGTATTGCAGTATTTAAATTTTTTTTTAAATAAATACTCTAAGAACATAAATTCATATCAACTCATTGAAGTTGAATGAATTTGTTGAATACTATTAAAGTCTCCTTGGTTTTTAGAACAAGAGTGGAAGTTTATCCCTTACTTCTTGTTTAGGATTGTGTTTCCAGTTCCTTCTAAAGTCTACTTCAACTCTTTACTTCTGACATCTCAACTTAAACTTTATTTTTGTTTTATTTTTCCTCAGTTAGTGTATAGATATGTTTGCCTATCATCAGATTCACACTCCTGCCTAGTCTTTTGAACACAAGCACAGGTTTATCCCTTGTTTCCTGTTTAAGATTGAGTTTTTGGTTCTTTCTCAAGTTTTCTCTTTTTTTTCAACCCCTTGCATCTTAGTAACATTATTGCCTTGCTTGAGGGAATTGACTGAAAGAAAGTTTACTTTTTCTTTTGGCAAGGTCATCAAAAAATAAGATTAAATCATATATCATATTAGGATTGATGTTGATCTAACACTGTATCTCATGTCATTTGTATCCTCCTGAAATTTCAGAAAGGCAGGACTGAATAAGAGGTTTCCCCAATATCAAAGATGGCTGACAGTAAATTGATGCTCTTTGCACTTTGGCCATCACTTTCTGATTATTGTCTATTATGAAGCATCACCTTTGTAGCTTTATCTTTGCTATCTCTTTACCCACTCTCTTGCAAATTGCCAAAATTGCATTTATTTATTCTCTTTTCTGTAGAACTCTATAATCTTGTACCTTGTTTAAGTGTTGGAGCTTTTGCCATTTTATCTCTATTGGGGCTTAAAATGGAATACATACTTCAAACCAGGACATTAATTAAGAATGACATTTAATGATTCAGGAAGGCAAAAGATGAGTTCAAGAGACTACCCATATTATTAACAAAGAAAGAATGTTAGAGAGGTTCAATCCTGAGAGCCAGTTTGTGGTTCTTTGGAGTAGTTAACCAAAAAGATATAAAAACTATTGTGTCTACCATTACTACTATTGTGTCTACTATTACTACTATTCATTGCAAATAATATGGTGTGGAGAAAATTGGATAAATAAGAATGTAGCTATATTGCTAAATCTTAATTTTGACTGCTGATCATCCTCTGAGGCAAAATCATTTAGGTGTTATCCATGTCAGAAATGTTCATAAGGATGAAAGATTTAAATTAAGATCCTGTCAGAGGATATTTGTGGATTTTCTAATCAATTCTGCTTAACTGTTGTAGAATATAAAATAGTTCATGTGTTGTGATAAAAAATACAACAAATATTACTAGAAAGAAAAACTAGTGAAAATGAATCATGAAAATGCTTTATTTAAGAAATTCAGACAACTTAAGACTATTAGTCAGTTTTCTCTTCCATATTGATATTTTTTTTTTCTTTAAATCGTTATCACCTAAGGCAATCCATATACCAGGCCTCACAAACATGTGACTGGGATCCGTGACTGGGATTGGACATGTGGAAGCCTAAATTACTACTAATTAACAATTCCTAAGAACATTTTTAGCAAGGAACTTGTTAGTAATGTCCAGTAATTAGTTAATTAACAACTATATGTAATATTAGGAAGCATCTTACAACTATTGAGTTATTTCCATAAATGCAAATGTACAAATAAAAAACAAAAATACCACAAAACAACTAAATGCACAAAAATCACTTTATTTACCATAAATTAGAAATTTTTCAATAATATTGCAAAAATAATTATTTATTATAGTTAACCAGTTATATATATGTAAAAGGAGGGAAATTTAAAAATAAAAATATCTGGTATTTTAAATTACAATCTGTGTCTTTCAAAAAAGTTCATATTCTTGAAAATAGAAACTAATATTATTAACTATTTTCTCTTCTGTGGGACAACGTTTTCTTTCTTTTCTTGTAACATAGTCTGCTATATACAAAAGTGACATTTTAATATCTTTAGGGATCCTAGTTTTAAGGTTTGGTAAATTATAAAATATTTGGCATCCCATTTCATCCAGCAAATGTCCACATTTTGAGCAATTATGGCCTGGATCAAAGTTGTATTCTTTGACTTCAGCATTTAATTTAAGAAGTAGTTTTAGATTTTTTCAATATTCAAAATTTTTCAATAACATTTTGAAGTGTTATAAAATATGCACCTTCAGAACTTTGTATTAATTTTCCAAATTGTCTGTGGTAAATTCACCACTCATAGCAAAATTAAACCCACTGTTTAGCAAATATCTGCAAACATCAATTAAGCCATTGCATGTATGTTCAATGATTAAACTAGTATCTCTTGTTAATGATTTCATTCTTTTTCTTTGCTTTCCTTTCATTCTTTTTGTCATTTTCCCAAAATTAGAAAGAAATAATAGATATTCATCATCTAAACCTGATATCACTCTTTTCAGTGAATCATTTTTCTTCGCATCACCATATATTTATTTGACACAAACAATTTAAAAAAATTTTAAGCCTTTTTTCCTCCCCATTTAATAATGGATGTGTTTTAATGGCAGCTACAATTTGATTGCAAAAACTCTTAAACAATAGAAAGCATTTTTTTTACTCAACAGGTTTTTGGGTAAATTGCTACATTAGTTAGTTTTGACAGCTTAACAAATTGAGTTTTTTCATACTCAAAAAGACATTTTACAATTTCTCATTTTGCTGTCATATTTTTTTTTTTTGCCTTCAGAATTAAACAGTAATTCATGTGTACATTCAGTAATCCAATTATTCTGAATGTTTTTAAAAAGGTGGATATAATCAAGCCATTTTAGTTATCCAAGGCTTATTAAAAACAGTTTCAAATTGTTTGAAAAAAGACTGATGGGTTTTCTTGTTGTTTCATACAATTGCAATTATTTGACCATTTAATTGTTTGATTGCATCAACAATATATAAAATTTTTTTCATTTGAAAAGGTTGCATCTAATTTTGCAACTGGGATCATGTTAAGTAAAAGTTTTGGTCCACCATTTAAACATTTTATCATGATGTCCAATACTGTTTTTGGTAATCCCTCAGAATTTTCAGCCAAACAAAATAAATTTCCTCTCTGATATTTTAAAACAACTTTGGCATACAATCTAACTAAATAATCAACTAAAAGAATACACTTTTTTCTGATTTTCAAAAATTTTATCACCAAGAACATTAAATTCATCTAATTTTGGGACTTTTGATGCAAAAGCTGATAATGTTCTTACACTGGGTAACTTAAAATCATTCTGATGTCTGTTATATGATGACTGAGATGTAACAAAATATTCAAATGCCCTGATAAGAATATCAGAACCATAATGTCTTGTCCCAATCCTTTGTGGTGACATAACATTAACATGTTCTTTTAAAATATTTTCCTTAGCAATTTTTAAGTTATTAACATAATGAATTGCTTCATTGATTTGT